TATATTTATTATTGTTAATGTAATATTTTGTTGAAGTTAAACTTAAATATTGCAAAAGGGGAATTTATAGTCGTAAGACTAGCAAGGAATTTGTTCAATAATTAAATAAAAAAATTCTGAGGAATCAGAAAATTGAAATGGGAAAACTGAAATGTTCACGGGTATTTCACGTAAATATTTATTGTGTAAAATAAACGACTCTTCATCATGAGCCTACGGACTTATAGATGCAACTTCATATAAATATAATTATTTTTTATATATTTATTTTTTTCAAATGCGTCTTGAAAGTTGAAACCTGGAAATCAAGATCGTAAAAAAAAAAAAAAAATAGAACAATTTTTTTTTTTTTTTTTAAATTTTATTTTTGTTTTTATTAAAAGAATAAAAGATTCATATCACATTGATATCTGCACGAGAGAGTGCATTATCACAGGTAGAAATTATCCATGTTATACACGAAAGATTTGTCTTGGGTTGAGTAATTTTCCAAAATAAATACACAGCCTATTTCATCCGATTTGGGCATCACTGATTAAAGGTAAGAATGTCACGAAATAACTTTTCTCGATTTGGTTATATCGCACGAGAAATGAATGTCCCATCGCCAGAAATATGTCTTTAGCAGCTTCGACCTTAACGATTACTTCAAAATTTTGTTGCCACTGAAATATATATGTCCTTCATCGTTTTTTTTTTTAATTTTCAAAAATTACCATTTTTTTAAAGTGATGAATATAAGCTGATTTTCTAAGCGTTGCCTAAATGTGGAACAAGACTGAAATTATGGGGCACCCAGTGAGGATCGAACTCATTAATCAGCAGTAGTTATGTTAGCGAGACAAACTTGCTAACCAGTGCACCACGTTGAAGTGTCCGAAAGTAGCGAATATAAGTAAAAAACGAGACCCTAAATTATTTTTTTTATATATATATATATATATATATATATATATATATATATATATATATATATATATATATATATATATATATATAAATATATTTTTAAGGTGTGCTATATTTATGGGATAAAGTGCTCAATATCAAAGACAGAGCGTATGTAAATATAAGTATAAAAATGAACATTGAATCAACACTCATAGGCATATATATATATATATATATATATATATATGTTGATACATAACATTCTCTTTTTCCTTTATAATGACACCAAAAAGCTTGTCCGTGAATATGAAAGGATTCATTTGAAAATAAGTTGACAAATTATTCAATGAAATATGTCTCAATGAAAACATATGCAATGCTTATATATATATATATATATATATATATATATATAATCCCATATAATATATATGAGGGTAAATCAGAAAGTAAAGGCAATTTCCTTACAACATGTTTATTTCTATTGGTGAATCAATGAATAAAGTGAGCTCTCGCATATTCGTGTTTCATCAATGCCACATATGTACTTGTTATTCGCGGAAACCTCTAATATTCGCATGTTTTACTGAAGAACATATGGCCAATTTATTCGCTGATAACTCCCTCGATTGGCGTATTTTTTCAATAGAACATATTTAAAATATTCTTTTATTATTTTCCTGTTATTTAAGTAACTTAAAACATAGTACAGTCCATTTGTGACAGAATTGTACATCTTCATATAAAAAACCCCAAAAAACATGCGTAGTGCTTGGGCTTTGTTCTTGCTTAGGGGTTGTGGCTGGGGTCTTAAAATCGGCTCATGTTAAGTCTGGGCACATCATCACACTTCTGTTTTTAGAAAATGTTTTAAATTTTATGTCTTGTTACACATATTTTATACAGTATTTTCAATGGGTGTATCGATCTATGCGTAATTAAAAACAGTTATTGTACGTATGAAAGAAAATTTACGCTAGGGTCACAAATATATTTTTCAAAAATGTTTTTAAAAAAGCTCTGAAATGTTTCTGGAGTATTTAGTATGAAAGTTTAAGGCATATGGGATTTTAACAATCAAAATTAGTGGGGTCACAAGTATTCGCGGATTCTATTCGCGACCGATTCTGGCCCCTAACCCCGGCAGATATGGGGGGGACTCACTGTATATCACATTTAGGCATAGTTACCCGCCCGCGCTGCTCGGCGATACATTTCTGGCATCGTTCAACAAGTTTCTTCATCACGTCACGTCTTCCTTGTTCAGGTATTTAAATCGCACAAACTTTATTGTTCCCATATATATCGCACATGTTTCATATTATATCATTCATATATATATATATATATGAAAATATATAGAAAATAGGAAGGAACTGGTTAGTTAAATAATCCAAAGTCCCTTAGTATTTTAGTTATTATTTTTTAAAAATAGTACTCGATACAAAAGTAGAGCATAAATATAATTATTTATTTAAAAATATGATTCCAAACTCGTGACATAAGAGGTCTCATGTTTCAAAACAAGAGCCGAAAACTTCAATATAATTATTTGAATTAAATTGAGTTAAAGTAAGCTCTGTTCCATCTTCAAGCGAAATTTTTTTTTGGAATAACGTATTTCTGAAATTTATGTGTGTTAATAATTGAAATCAAAATTTCCATGGTAACAGCTAGGGCGAATTGTTTAAATTGGGTAGGCGTGTGTTGGGTGTTAATAATAAGTATCAGTATAGAGTTACTTTCATAGATGTCAAGTCAGAGAAAGGTGGGGGTGTCTAAATTTGAAACGGAAGATGTATTAACCCTAGTCTGGTATGCTTGTCTATAAGTGCTCTTTCAATAATATAAATAAAAGAAATCAGACTTCCCTATCTAAATATTTTTGGCATTTGAAGGAAACAAATAGGACACCTAAAGTAAAATGGAAAATTATAAACAGGGCTAGAACATGTAAAACTTGGGATGACCCATGCCCTTTGTGCCTCCATGAGAAATTGCACATTATTAAGCTTCTAAATAATAATAATCTATTAAACAATAGACATGAGTTAACAGTTTTTTGTCTACATCATCAGATTCATGGTTTGAATAATTAGCTAAAAACAAGCATACAATATAATAACTTTCATAATCCATAGCGCAAATAAATAGTTTAAATACCCTACAAAAAGATAACCCTTTATGAAGTCGTCAAAAAACAAAACGTTACGGCAGTTTTTTTTATATGCACAAATCCCTTTCATAAAAAAAATAAAATAAAAAATAAATAAATCTCCATAGACAAGCATACCAGACTAGAGTTAATACATCTTCCGTTTCAAATTTAGACACCCCCCACCTTTCCCTGACTTGACATCTATGAAAGTAACTCTATACTGATACTTATTATTAACACCCAACATACGCCTACCCAATTCAAACAATTCGCCCTAGCTGCTACCATGGAAATTTTGATTTCAATTATTAAAACACGTAAATTTCAGAAATACGTTATTCCAAAAAAATTTCGCTTGAAGATGGAACAGATCTTACTTTAACTCAATTTAATTCAAATAATTATATTGAAGTTTTCGGCTCTTGTTTTGAAACATGAGACCTCTTATATCGCGAGTTTGGAATCATATTTTTAAATAAATAATTATATATATAAACAATTTGCTTACTACAAAGATGCGTTCTTGTTTCGATGTGGCTGCATCTCGACTGGTGAAAACCAAAATTGGTTACTTTTTTTTCTTAGCAGTCGAGATGCAGCCGTATCGAAACAAGAATGCATGTTTGTAGTGAGTAAGTTGTATTTGTCCGTATCTAAAAATTATAATAAATAATTATTGTTCTACTCTTGGTATCGAGCCATCTTTTGAGTTAATGCTGTGAATGTTCTATTCTTCTTGGGAAGTAATTGTTCAAATTTTAGCCGAACAAAACACCGAGTATTTATGGAAAAATACAGGGAGACATTATTATATTAAAAAATTTACATAAAAATAGAAATCACAGATTGAATTGGCAGTAATTGATTTAGCCTGAATAGGAACTCGTTAAAATGTTAAATCACAATTTTTAAAACTCCCACCACCATCGCAAAAAAACAAAAAAAAAACAGTTTTTTTGGTCTTTTCAAATTGGGAAACTCTGAATTGTAGTTTGTTTCACTGATTTCTAATTCCAGTACAGTCATTATCCGGGTTACGACAGTCCCGACTTACGGCGTTTTGAGGTTATGACACAATCTCCGATAATCTTGTTTCATATATACGGTATTATTTTCATTATATTTATTATATTTGTGATTCCTGTATGTTTTAGTCTTAATTATGTTAACATATGTCATAGAAATGTGTTGTTATGCCCTAGATTATTACATTGCTATTGTCTTAGCAGGCTTACGGCCACATCATATTGAAACACCAGATAGCCGAAGTTAAGTCAAGTCGAGCCTGATCAGTACCTAGATGGGTGACCGTTTGGGAATATTAGTTGCTATTAGATGTACGGGTGATGTAATAGATAATTGCTCGGAATTGTCAAGCGGAGAGCCGAGTTTAATTCCCGATGAGTTCGTTACATTTAGTTACGTGCAAATACTCTTAGGGAAACGTATGAATTCACATCTTCTCCACCTAGCTATGTTTTAACTAGTAAGACGTATATCACTGTTATTACGTAAAAACAAAATTCTTACAATATTTTATGGCTTTAAATAGCCTACAAGAAGCCATAAAAAGCGAATCAATCAAAAAGTATTGCGTTAACATAGGTGAGTGACGTTAGTGCTTATTCATAGAAAATCGCGGCTACTTTCCGACTTACACGGAAAATCGTGTTACGAAGCATCGTAGAAACGAAACTGTCGTATGTCGAGGACGCCCTGTATTATCTGATGAGAAGGATTTGTGTCTGCGTAAACGCCTCTTTAAAAAAAAATAGTAAAAAAAAAGAGAGAGAGAGAATGTCTCTTTTTTTTTTTCTCCTAGTGATAAATAATAGAAAAAAGCTGTCCTTATGGGGGGTGTTTTGTTTTTTAATATTGCACATAAAACGATTTGAAGAACTTTTTAAAGGAAATCAAGTCGTCAGTCAAAAGAAACACATTCAATTCAATATTAATTGAACGTGCAAGGTCTCCATATTTTTGACGAAGCGTTCCTTGGAAATGAAAGTGGATCTGCATTGCCTTGAGTGACATTTCCGCCATGTTTGTTTACGCTGTAACCGTATGGATGATACCGGCTGTTGACGTGATGGACGGCAAAAGGTTGCGGGTTGAATGCTGAAAGAGAAGCATCAGGACATCTGACTGCATATGTAGTGTAGGCGGTATCCAGAAGATTCGGACTGTTTGGACTTTCGATATGACATGACTGGGTGACCGGGTCGAGGATAGATGCATAGGGGTCAGCAAAATAAAAAATGCTGTTGGTGGGTGACAATTGTTGTTCAGTTGGTGATGGTGGCAGTGACGGATCTGAGGCCATAGCAATATTCTTTCTTCGTTCGCACTTTGTGAGGAAATTGTTTAGATCCTGGTAGGCGTTTTCGCATTGAAGCCTTGTTGTTGCATCTGGGCAGAAGGTTTTATTTAACTGAAGTTGCATATATTTAAGATATTTTAATGAAAGTTTGAGTGTTTCAGATTTTTCCAATTTTTCAAATTGCGCATTCTGAAAATAAAAGATAAAAAAAACATTAGTAAAAATCTCAAAATTCCGAGTTGAGAAAAAATATTGTTTTACTGTGAAAGATTAAAGGGTGCACCTCATAGTCAGAATAAGTTTCGAAACCATTTTTTTTTTTTTTTCAATAAGGTTTACCATATACAGGGCACGAGGGACACTCGAGGTAGAGGGTTACGTTAAGGGGTAGTTTATATAGATAGAAGCAGAAGATGACGGTTAACTCTACACTTAAACAGGTTAAAATTATAGTGATCAGAGAAACATCCTCTTGGCAGTCGGCTCCACAGAGCAGTGGTCCACGGGAAGAAGCTATCCGAGTAGGACTTACTTCTCACGAACAGAATACGGGGGAAATGTGAGTGATTTGCTAATTTGTAAGTGGCATGGCGAGTCCTAGACGTGAAGGTTAGACCAGGCGGAACCTAGGCGTGTAGTTCGTCCGAGCACTTTCCTTGGAACTAGCGATAGAGCAGTGGGAGGTTCGGCACATCCCGCCTAGATAAACGTTGTAACAGATTCAGTATTTGGAAAATTAATGACAAAGTGGAAAAAAACATTATCTAACGTCTTTCATTATTTAGGTCTTAATCGCATTAAACTATGTTTTTATTTATGTAATTATATATAAGTAGGAAGAGGAGATATAATATAAAAATGCAACCATAACATATACATGAGGAAAACCCAGAAGAATTTAAATAAAAAGGTTATATGAACATAAAAGGGATCTATTACAAAACAACACTCTCAAGTTCTCCGTAATGAGTTTGATTATAATTTCTATTTCTAAAAAAAATGCTGCTTTAAGTAAAAGAGCTATTTGCTAAGACTAAATCGTATAGAAAGTGCTTTAATAGCTAGATTATACACAGTGAATTTACATCCAATTTCTTACAATATCTCCCCTTCCTTGGCAGATCTTCTGTTATCACAATGTGCGATACTTAATAATAAAGGTAATAAAAACAAAAGCATTAAGAAACTAAATGAAATTGGCTAGGCTATATACCCAGACACGTCTACAAAAAAAAAAAAATCAATTTAAAATTTCAGCGTTCCAACATTTTCAGCTTTTCCTATCTATGCATAATTATATTCAACGTTTCCTTTCTTAAATTCCCCTCTCCTACCAATGCATATATAATTAAATGAACAAAAATATATTAGTCCGATGATATCGTAAAAGACGAAATGCGTCACACAAAAAATATTTTTTCGACTTTGTCATTAATTTTCCTACTATTGTTCTGATATATAAAAAAAGATTGTCATACTCTCCAATAGATTCAATTATATCAAAAAGCCATATGTTTGTCCTGAGTATGACTATAAACTACTTCCAGCAACAAAGGCATTGATCGGGAGAGTGGAGGTATGGAGGAGCGTGAAACCACCTCTTAACTGCTGTTGTTCCCAGGTCCAACATGACCCAGGGTGGTAGCACCTGTTAGGGTCTCAGCTTTGGACAAATAGTGAACCGCCAAACATAATTCAACATTAATTTTTTATAATAAAATGACTAACAATGCATTTTTAAGGCAAAATGAAAATCAGTGCAACACTAAACTACTATTACTAAGGGTTAATCTCCCTACTATCATTAGCGGTTAATCTCCCTACTATCATTAGCGGTTAATCTCCCTACTATCATTAGCGGTTAATCTCCCTACTATCATTAAATGTTAATCTGACTAATTTCATTAACGGTTAATCTCTCTGCTAGAATTAACGGTTAATCTCTCTGCTAGAATTAACGGTTAATCTCTCTGCTAGAATTAACGGTTAATCTCTCCGCTAGAATCAACGATTAATCTCACTACTATTATTAGCGGTTAATATTGCTATCATCATTAACGCTTAATTTCACGATTATCATTAACGGCTAATCTGACGAGTTTCATTAACGGTTAATCTCTCTGATAGAAATAACGGTTAAATCGCTATTATCATTAACGGTTAATCTCGCTGCTGTCATTAAGATCATAATCATTACGATTGTATGAATAGTCCCAGAATTAAGTATATTAGAAAATCTGATATTCACGAAACAGAGGGACAGAGGAAGACAACCCGTGAGGTTGAATAAATTGGATGGCAGAAGAACAGGGCATGGGAGAAATAGCAGAAGGATAAAGTCTATTAAGAGCTACAAGGGACACGGCACATAAAGAAGATATTCATCATGTTCAAAGTTCAATAACTACACAAGGTAGAGAGTTTCAGAGTTAGAGGCCCTACCCCAAACAAGGTGATTATGTCAACAAGACGCAAAGGGCCAACGGAAGTGAAAGAGAAGAGAAGAAAAAAACTTTAGAGGCAACTGGAAACCCAGTCCTAAACAGGAAACAAGGGATAAACATTTACTTCTTGTCAAAAGACCGGGAGGAGGGTGAACCGGACGATAGGCAAACATACCTACTCTTACCGAGTAAAAAAATATAAATATATCGTAAATAAAAGTTCAGAGGTTTAAGTGAAGTCGTTAGAAGTATAGCGTTGAAGTAGACTTTAGAAGGAACCGGAAACCCAATCCTACGCACGAAACAAGGGATTAACATCTACTTAAGTTGAAAAGACCGGAGAGGAGTGTGAATTGGGCGATAGGCAAACCTATCTACTCCTATTAAAAGGAACTTCATTTTAAAGTAAAATTTCAGCTTTCTCAAATTTTCAAATAGCTTTTGTTTTGTCCATAAATACTTGCTCTTTCAGTGTTTACAGACAGAGAAATCCTGGTTTCATTAAGAAATTAGTAAAATAGTCTTTTCCGAGAATTTTAAGGAAATTTAGGTATAATGTCAGGAAAATCAAATAATTTTCTAATGCTTCTTGGAATAAGAATGGCTCGATGGCGTCTCGGCTTCAGTCACTTTCCCACCGATCTAATGGAGCTTCCCTGTGCCTTTTCTATAAATACTTTCATGATAATTGCTCTGATGAACTCTCCGTTATGGTACCTAGATATTATATATATATATATATATATATATATGAAAAAAGACGAAAGGAAAACTTAGCTCGGTAAAGTAATAATTCCTTCAGGTATGGCGATATTTGAAAAAAATCTAGCGTCCAGATTTATATTTTGGCAAGATACGATAGTGGCACTCTCGAGAATTTTCCGTCTAAGTTAAATTCTCACTTTTCACAAGTGTGGTATTCTTTAGATCAAAGTTGTGACTGAATTTATTAATGTGTAACCAATGTTTTTGATAATTTTTCTGTGCGTAAGATCCCTTCTGCGTTCATAGATATTTTTTTTTAATTTCTGCATGTTTCCCCAATGTAATGTGAAGATCAGTTTTGACAGTTTATTTTATATATACCTACTTCAGAATTATTATTTTCATGGGTATTTCGATTCTGATTATATCCATAATAGTTTGGGATGTTTTTGTAATTATTTTGATATTGTTAAGATTAGATAAATTGTTTTGGATAGTAGATGCAAAGAGTTAGTCGGTATTATTATATGTCTGTTTATATATATATATAGTTTATTTTCATTGATGTTATTATCTTTTTCCGGATGTATATTTTGCATGCCTTTTTGTTAGCATTGTGGATGAAATAATGAGGATATTGGAGATTTTTTAAATTATTTTCTGTGTCGATACCAACTTTGGCACCGTTATCCGTTATACTGCCTGCACAGCATAGTTTAGATGCTACAAATTAAATAAATCCATGAACAGAATGAATAATTAGGTTACTTACGTCTTTGCCAATGCCTTTTAATGTGACGGATTTCATTTCGTTGAGGGTTTTGTTAAACTCGTCACGACGATACTTTTCCGTGGCTAATTTTTTATGCTGAAATGACAAATAAAAAAAGTAAATGAACGACAGGAATCCCGACAAAGGAGGTTTAGGGAAAGCAAAAACAAAAAAAAAAAGATTACTCATACGTAGCATTAGAAAAAAGACCGTTAAAATTTCGAAGGCACGCGAGGAAAATTTAACACTCACTGGAGAGTAATAAGCACAGAGGAAAGCAGCGCATAGCCTACCTAACGGGTTCGTGTAAATGGTTGGCAGAACAGAGATTAGGAGATATAGCAAAAAGATAAGATTACTAAGAGCGACAAAGAAGTTGTGGAGAGCCACGGTCGCACAAGTCCTGAAGACAGGTGGCACATAGACAAAGAAGAAGTACTGAGCTTTGGTGACACAACTGTTATTAGCATGAAGAGTGGAGTCGGCGAGGCGAGTTCAAATTCTGGCCTTGTTTGTTGCTTTCACTTCGCACTAATGCTCTCGGAAAAGGTATAAATCCCACTTTTGATAGTCCACTTCCAGCTATGGAATAAATAGCAGAATAGACTGTCAGGTAGTTGAAAGACAAAATTGAAAAATTGTTATATATGCGTTTCTTCCTATTTTCCATCATGACTAAATGCTGGCTAATTTCCTCGCAGGAGAAGAGACTTGAAAGAACAGAGATTTCGTTCTACAGACGCCATTTTTAGTGTCTTTTGTCTTTTTTAAAGTTAAACTTCATAAGAAAATTCATATTTTATTACAAATAAAATCCAAATTAAAATCTCATATAAGCTTAAATCAATGCAGTACATTATTTTCCTTTTTCATCAGAAATCTATGACACAATGTGGTACAATTCAAATAGTGGAATATGTGTGACATCACGAAACATGTGAACTGAACCGTAAATCCAAGCGAACGCTTCGCTGACCCTGTATAGGCTGCATGTGCAAATATGCAAAAGTAAGTTTCACGAACATGTTGGGTTACAATCAACCATGATACACTCGTTATGGAAAAATTTAAAATGGAATCAACAATATTGGGAAACACTGAGACGCCCTTTAAATTCGTGGCGAACTGGTATGGCTCTCAGCTTAAACGGTGGCAAGTGAGCTCATGATGGAATGGGGCCCCCTATATCAAATAAGAATGCAATAAAGGGACAAACACGGACAACTGTTTTAGCAATAAACGGAGATAAGTGCTTTATGAAGTCATCTGCATACTTTCAGTCACTCAAATCAAATGTGAGAGGACATTTTCAAAGTTGAAGATCATAAAGACAAGGTTAAGAAATTCGCTGTCTGATGAGAATATGCAATCGTACATGTTGTTATCCATTGAAAAGGAACTGTTAGATGAAATGTATGCAGACACAATTATTGGCAGATTCCAACAATCATCTACTGAACACAAATGATTGATCTTAATTTAGTTGACCGCAGGCAATGCTCTATTCTACATTTGAACTATCTGTTCATGTGTAAATTGAGCAATAAACTATTTAAAAATACCTACCAATTATTTAGAATTAAAGAAAATAAATAAAAAAATTCAATTACATTTTCTACATTTGGTATCTACTACCAATAATATGCACAGTACATGTACATTGTAACAATACAGGGAGAAATACTAATTTATTCCGCAAGTTTTAATTGTACCTTTTTTCCACATTTTTATTCCTCATGCAAATTATAGCATAATTGTTGGTAGGACCTTTTGTCTGCTGGCAACCAATAATTTTAGACCCAGTCCGCTACTGCTTGAAATAATAATAATAATAATAATAAATGTATCTGTGAAGATCTTCAAATAACTAACAGAAATATAAGGATCTTGGAATGGAAATCTAAAAAATATGGCACATGAGGACACCAATAATTCCATTTGTAATTGGAGCCCACAGAGACTTATTGAGGGGGATAGCTGGTAGATAATGCCTTAAAGAAATGCAAAAAATTGTACTCTCAGGTACAGCCCACACATTACGAGGAGCTTTATCTATGTAAAACTTGGGTGATCTTAGGGCTTTTTTTTTTTTAAATGATCAGTGGAAAATGTCATGAAGCCATTTCTGACCTTAGGTCTCGTGTTGGGACCCGAAATGCAATGAGTATACAATAGAAATCAAAGAAAAAAAATGATAATCGAATATTTTAACCCGAGCATCACTTTTGGGGTACATTGTTTTCTCACCGAATAATAATAATAATGATAATGCCCTAATTATACATCGGACATTGTTCTTATGACTTCTGATCTTAACTGATTGAACGTTTCAACATGTACGTTTTTTTCTTAATGAATTAAGATGGACTACAGTAGATATGCCGTTCATTACCACGGATCTCCTTATCAGTTACTTGACCATAAGTATTTTGTCATGTTTCCTACTGGCTGATACATTGAGCATATGAGTGGGTGGAGCAGGAGAGCATCATAGATGAATGACGAATAGGTCGCATTATTTTATCCCCCTTTTTTATTTAATTTGAAGGATCAGACATCCAAGGTAACTTGTGAACCACATCTAGATACGTGTATGGAAACCCTCAATCTGAGACCGTGTTACCTGAAATTAAGTTATTTCTAACTCACCTGTAACGTTATACGTTTCTTTTTATCAAAACCTGTCATTATATTGTGCACATTAAGCTACAACACTTCTACATTAAAATGAGTGTCATAATGGGTATAAGGAATATATATTTGTACCTCCACGTCACTTTGTTAGCGTTCTACTCTTTGCTTCTCTGTAGCTGAATGGTAACAGTACGTCAGACTATATAAGGGTTACAGTTTCGTTTTCGTTTTTGTCAGAGAGCACATATTTTCTACGAAATTTCTTGAAAATTCAGGCCGGTAGATGTAATAAATACTAGTTAATTAAAAAAAAAAAGAGCATTTACTTACATAAATTATATCTATAAAAATAACGTAAAAACAGAAAATATATTAAATAACTGTCGGACTTAATGCATTTCTAACACACATATATATATATATATATATATATATATATATATATATATATGTGTGTGTGT